AAATCTTCTTCTCAAGAACCACTGGGCCAGGAAAGATGAAACTCATGTGGAATCATCCTCAGGTAGTGTAGATTCAAATTTGTTCAGATCATGACCCCTGGAGGTAGGGTGGGGCCAAAATGGTTGATCAAAGTTTAACATAGGAGTATATATAGGAAAGGATGTATTCGCTTCAACAAAAGAATTGACCTATAGGAGAGAACAATTTCCCGGAAAAAATGACATTTAAATATTAATCTTAAATTATTGTTTTCTACCGTATATTTATCTAAAATTTTCAAATCTGTATTTTATACCTAAAATTTATTATTTACAACTTTACAATAAACCTCCAAAATTGGCTGAAACACAATTTTGTCCGTTAAAGCGTTGATTTTTGCATGAATTTTGGCCTAGAAGTCCTTCAGGGCAGGCCTGCCCCTAAATAAAATTGTGATATTTTGATAGGTTATGATGTAAGGAATGATTAAAGATAGGATGTTTTTAGGGGCACTCCTGCCCTAGGGTCGAAATTCACAAAAAACCTACAAAAAATAAAGAAACCTGACTTTGAAAATTTTCTTCAAATTTATACCTATCTTTCTTATAGACGGACTAGGTCAGTTGTTATATGACTTGGTTTTACACAGTGAAATGCTTATTTTTAAAGTCGCGGGTTCGAATCCACCTGGCACCACACTTTTAAAGTTTTAAATTTCGCCTTTTCAACATTTCAATTTTTTTTTAAATAGACTTGTGTATTTTCCTTCAATTATGTATCCTTTATGTATGCCCATTCTTGATATAAGAAAAACTAAAGAGATGTCAAGTCGTAACAATCAAATGTTCAGTTGTCAGTCAGGCGGAAGAAACCTCAGTATAAGCACACTTTCTCCAAGGACAAAAGTAACTCATTCTGTGTTATTTGATACACTGACAGGTATTTTTGACAGCATTGAGCTGCGACGAATTTCAGTTGTATATATTCCTTAGAATTTAATCACATTGATTTTGGCTACATACCGGTATATCAGTAACTGTACTCCCTTGGATTTCATTTAGGCCTATATAATTTGCACACATTAATGACAATTTTTTTTATATCCACGGATAAATAGCCTAGACATAAAGAATAGAATTTCAGAGACAGTAGACATTACCATTATGCACAATGAGAAGTAAAGACAAATATCAATTATTACATTTGGAGATAACAAACTCGGAAAATCAATGAAAAGGTTTCTTCTACCTCTACTCACTGAAATAAAGATTTAGGAAAAACAAGTTGTTAAATGTATTCGGCCTAATGTCATTAATCGGAACGGAAATCGACAAGCTTTTTGTAGAGATGTTTGTAGAGAAAAAAAACCAAGCCCGGTCCTATAGGTCAGATCCCTATTTATAATGAAGTGATCCTTTTTTAAAAAAAATTTCTTCTCAAGAAACCACTGGGCCAGGAAAGGTAAAACTCATGACTGTGGAATTATCCTCAGGTAGTGTAAATTCAAGTTTGTTCAAGTCATGACCCCCGGGGGTAGGGTGGGGCCAAAATGACTGATCAAAGTTTTACATAGGAATATATAGGGAAACTTTTTTAAAAATCTTCTTTTCAAGTACTTCAAAGCCATGATTAGTGATATTTATATGGAATCATCCTCAGGTAGTGTAGATTCTAGTTGTTCAAATCATGACCCCCTCAGGGGTTAAAATTCAAGCCCCAACCCCCCACCCCAACCTCAGTAAACTTTCAGTTATGATCTGATATGTGCATTTTCCTAGCAGATGGGCTCAGGTGAGCGATGTGACCCCTGGGCCTTTTGTTGGTTGTTGTTGTTGTTGAAATGGATAAAAAGTCACGAGACGTCTATGCTAAATAAAACTTTTTGCATGTTATTTCATCCACTGGCATTTCTTTCTAGATTGAGATCCTGCTTCTTTTTAGCTCACCTGAGCCGAAGGCTCAAGTGAGCTTTTCTCATCAAAATTTGTCCGTCGTCTGTCGTCGTCGTCTTTGGCGTTGTCGTTGTCGTTGTAAACTTTTTACATTTTCATCTTCTTCTCAAGAACCACAAGGCCAATTTCAACCAAACTTGCCACAATGTATCCTTAGGTAAAGAGGATTCAAGTTTATTCAAATGAAGGGCCATGCCCTTATTCAAGGGGAGATAATTTGGAAATAGTGAAAATTTGGTGGAATGGTTTTAAAAACTTCTTCTCAAGAACCACTCTGCCAGGAAAGATGAAACTTATATGGAAACATCCTCAGGAAGTGTAGATTCAATTTTGTTCAAATCATGACCCCCGGGGGTAGGGCGGGGCCACAATGGCCGATCAAAGTTTTACATAGAAGTATATAAGGAAATTCTTTAAAAATCCTGTTCTCAAGAATATCAAAGGCATGAATGATCATATTTATATGGAAGCATCCTCAGGTAGTGTAAATTCAAGTTTGTTCAAATCATGACCCACGGGGGCAGGGTGGGACCACAATGGCCGATCAAAGTTTTGCATAGAAATATATAAGGAAATTCTTTAAAAATCTTCCTCTCAAGAATAGCAAAGCCATGATTAGTCATATTTATATGGAAGCATCCTTAGTTAGTGTAGATTCAAGTTTGTTCAAATCACGACCCCTTGGGGTAGGGCGGGGTCACAACATGGAATTCAAGTTTTACATAGAAATATGTTGAATTTTTTTTCTAAAATTCTTCTTTTCATGAATGGCAAAGCCATATTTATTATATGGAAGCATTCTCATGTAGTGTAGATTCAAGTTTGTTCAAATCATACCCTCTCCCCTTTAAGGATTGGTTGGAACCACTTTTGGGTTTTAACTTTTCAATAATAAACTGATTTCTGCTTTTTTCAAGCTACAGTGCTCAGGTGAGCGATGTGGCCCATGGGCCTCTTGTTTATGAGTTAGCTTAGTTTTATTAATTCAATATAATATTAATTAGATTTTAACCTTTGATGTGTTTTAGATTTACGTCTTTAACAACTAAATTGTTTTGCCAGTGTTTATTTTTGCAAAAATATGTAGGACGATTTTTAATAGTAGGACTTTTAGGAATCACTTAATTTCTACTTAAAAACAGCAACCTTATTATGATATCTTATGCTATCTTTCTTTGAGGTTTCCATCACTTGATTTTTTTAAATAAGCCATTTGTTTCGTCCATTTCACTTTAACTATTTTACTATTAATAATTATTGACAAGAAAATGCTGGTTAACTGTTCAATTTGTAAATAGTACTTGCATGAGGTTTTTGTTATTGAAAAATAAGATATTTTAGAAAACGTGTGAGTTTTGCTTACATAACCAGTCATTGATGTTTATCTGAGTCTAACCTCAAGGGTTGATGTAGTACATATGAGATATGGACAAGGGCATATTTTGATGTTTATTATAATATTATAGTTTACTTAATTATAACATCATAATATGCTTACTTAGGCAAGTAGATTAATTAAAACATAACTAGTTGATACTAATACTTGACAAAATAGAATAAAATAGAAATTAGATTCACCTGGAAACACTGAGGTCAGACATTTTAGAAGACGAGATACCATAGGACTAGGAAGAAAATAACTGAAACAAGTGCATTTTTAAACAAATGGATGCAATGTACAAAGAAAGGAAGGCATTTGTGAAAAATCTAAAACAAATTGTATTCAAAAGTTGCAGTTAATGAAAATGATTTTTATCGTAAGATAAAAATATGTCATCAGTTTGTTTTTTTTGTAAAAAGATCCGCATAACTATTTTGTTGACAAAGTTTTTGTTTAAAAAAATTAATACATTTCATAACTTTTAGTCTGTAAGTTACGGTTATTTTTTTTTTTACAATGAAATCGAATTAAAATACTAAAGAGAGGGTCAGGGCTCTTGTTAAGTTACAAAAGATTTTGCTCTTACGACTTACATAAGAATTTTTGTGAAAGTTTTCACTTAGGATAAAATATGTTGTAAGATTTTTTGATGAAATGGTCTACAGCTTACTTATATAAATGGCTATCATAATAAATTACCACATGATTTATACTAGTATTTTTTTTATCCAGACCAAAATTAGTATACATGTTAATTACTATATTATATTATCAATAGATTATTTCTTGGGTTCAACATTCTTTACGCCGATGTATACATTTTACCGAGAAAAAATAAATGTATCTGAAGAAGAGGTCCTTGTGTACTACATGCTGGTCGATGACCCTGCATATGTATACTGTACTCGAGATTGTTTGTGTCTGGCTCTCTCTAATCTGGTAGTTATGTGGAGTTTCCTTGGTTCGTTTTGTTATGATCTTTTTAGTCTTTGAATTTTCTAAGCTTGAATTCGAAGTTGAAGTTTTCGTATTTGCCAGCGTTGAATCCAGTCAATTTGCCTAAAGCAGACCTAAAAATGAAGTTACAAATAGTCAGTTTTAAGAAGGGCATTTTTATCTTCATTTTCTATTGCTCCTCACTAAGATATTAAAAGTAGTGAAGGAGAAATTTTAAGAGCACTGTGTAACAATATATTAAAGAAGTGGTGTAAATGAGATGTGGATACTTTTAAAAATTCCAAGGAAATTTTGAGCGATTTGAAATCACAAGATTTTACCAAAATCAACAGCTGAAAAAAGACTTTTCAACTTTGCAGTGGGATACAACCATTTCCCACGATATTTTAAAATCCGGGCTTTTTGATATCATTGACAGCTGTTTTTTCTATAAAAATGGAATTCGTAAAATTTGACTACATTGACATTGTTCATTTGCATTATTATTTTGTTAAAAACATTCTGGTTGTACATACAAGTACTTTGAAGTTGACATAAAAAAGATGCTTGAGTTTCTGGGAAAAAAATTGAACGGAAAACGTCTTCATCAATGCGCTACGCGCATTGATGACGTTTTTCGTTCATATTTTTTCTTTGATACTTCGATCAAAGGAAAAAAAATATTACATTCATTTCTTAAAAGAAAAAATATTAGTCTAAGTATATAACATCTTTAATGGCTTAAGCGTACCTCCAAATAAGTACACAGCTATGTTCGAGCTATTTGTGGTTCCATATTGGTTATAGACGGAGCAGTGGTAGTAACCCTGGTCTTCTTCCTGGAAATTCGTTATGTTGAGGTTTGGAGAATGAATTGTTCCGCCGGAGTATTTACCATTAGACATCGGATTGATTGGTGCATCGTCTTTGTACCAATTAACCTCAACAACGGGAGGGTAACTGGAGGAAAAATTGCAAGACAGGGACACGCTATCGCTAGCGTTCACAGCGTACTTTGTTCTATGTAGGTAGATCACAGGGAAACCTAAGATAAATTCCGTAATAATTACATTGAAAATAAATTTGATTCTTTAAGTTATACTTTAAGATTGCATTGCATTTCTTAATTTTTTAGTAGTAGTAATCTTTACTGAATGAACATCTTTACCGAATGCAATGTGATAAAAAATTCTGTTCCCGCGTTCTGTTTTGTTAAACATGCATATTATTACATGTATCTGATATATATGAGACAATGAACATTGTTTACTTTCAAATTGAAAAATGTATGTATCTCGCTGTAAATCTTTGATACATACCTCGCTTTAAATCTAGAAAAATCATTTTTGCACTTTGGCCTGTGCCTGCTGAGTTTTGAACCAAACATCTATAGTTTCCTATATCGTCAATTCGAACATTTTTAACGGTAAGAGAAGGTGCTTTTACAGTACCGCCGCTATATTTAATGGTATTACCAGTGTTGATAGTGGTTGTGACGCCTTTTTTCTGGTAGTGCCACGCAATAGAAGATATATTTGTCATGCTTGTAACGTAACAACTGAGTTTTGCAGATGCCCCAATATATACTGCTAGACTGGATCCTATTGTTACATTTGGTAAACCTATAGATAAAGATTTGCGTAAATCTGTATATTGAAAAAAAAACTTAATTGGCATATACATGTACTTTTCCTCTTTGAAAAACTCAACGTGAATGTATAGTAACATAATGAATAAAATGTCACTTCTCTTACGATGAGCAGAAATATATATTTGTATAGAATAAAAGAAAATGTTATGCGACAGTGACAAATCTATAATATTAGAGAATCAGCAAATCTGTAAGTTTAAGTAGACCTCCATCATACAGTACCGACCAGACCCAACCTGACACTAAGCAGTCCCAGAGCAGTCCCGGGGACTGCTTTCTGGGACTGCTTTAGCAGTCCCACAGCAGTCCCAGAGCAGTCCCACAGCGGTCCCCAGTCCCACAGCAGTCCCAGAGCGGTCCCAGCAGTCCCAGCGGTCCCAGAGAGCAGTCCCAGCAGTCCCAGAAAGCAGTCCCAGTGGGCGGGGTTTATTTATTTAATGGGCGGAGCTAACTCAGAAATGAGATTTGCAATAAACAATGGAACTATAAAAGGCAGTAGAAATTGAATCTGGGTAGTATGCCAGGTCTCCTTACATGTACGCGGTCATTTATGAATAGTACGCGCATAGAAACAAATTGAAATAATATTTATTGAAGGAAGAAAGCTTTCACATGTGCATGTATGAATTAAAATGAACATGAATATTTAATCACAATTATCGGGTATATTAATAATTCAATTTCTTAATTTTCTGTGATTGATACTGTTTCCCATACCGGTATTTATTTTTTATACAGAAAATTAAACGTGAATTAATTATTTTCTACTAGTAAGAATTAGTTTTAAATAGATCTTATCCTTATATGGCCAATTTCCATATTATCGGGATATTCAAAAGGAATTTTCTTAAGTATAGGGGCTTTTAGAAAATTCTTTGTAAAATTTTGCCAAGTATTATTTTTCAGTCATGATTATTTTTACTGACATGTCAATTTAATTATTGTTAATTTCTCTATCTTTAAAATACTCAATTTTAAGTGTTTTATTTGTAAATGTTAGAATGTACATCTGTAAATCACCAGAATGGATCCCTCAGATATTATGTTCAAAATTATTAATCCTGAAAGAAATCATATACATTTCATTTATCAATTTTATTTGTGCATTACATACCGGAAGATTGAAATTAGGGTCAATGTTGACCAGCATGTTCAATGATGTGAAACGCTGATACGTACATGTATACCCAAATAACATGCACTGATTTTCTGCCCTGAGGAGATTGAAATCGCTAGTGTTGATACCATTTTTTAAACATTAATCGGCCAGGTAAACACAAGCAAAACAAAAAAGAAATAAATCACAATTCCCGGTATTTTCAACTGTTTATTTATAAAATAAATGTACCCTTTTGATAATTTGTTTATAAATTAAAAACTACCGGTAATTCATTGATAAATTCCCCAATGATTATTCACATTGTTTCACATGTACATTGTTTAAGTTACGAAAGAATGGTAGCATAATTTTATTTCATGTCATTTAATAAATTGTTAGACTTTATTTGGAGGTTGCATGGAATACTTTTTTTAGCGTGGTACTCATAAAACATGTAGCTTTTCAATTAAAAATCTTATATCTACCTGTAATGATTATTTTTAGATAGTGCCAATTAATGCAAATTTTGAATGCACATAATTTTACATTAAATTAAAAATAGGCCTAAATGTATGTATTTTTTTCATAAACCTGTAGTTTATCTTTAAGTATAAAAAATCTTCTCCTGACTTCCTTATTGAACAACTTTATTTTAAAAAAATATTCTAAACTAAATTTGTGTAAATATACAGTCTCTGAAAATATTAATTAACTATGATAATCTCTTCTTATCAAAAGGTTGTAAGAAATCCTTGCTTTTTTAATAGTTTAAACTCCTCTCTGCTGCTAGTAAACAAAAAAACTGGGAGTCTGCAAATTCAGAATACACAAGGGGGCGGAGCTATTGTGTCACTCAGAACCTCTTTCACACATGAGTGAACAAAGCAGTCCCAGAAAGCAGTCCCAGGGACAGCTGGGACTGCTGGGACTGCTAGGTCTGCTTTTTAGAGCAGTCCCAGAGCAGTCCCATAGCGGTCCCGGAGCAGTCCCACAGCGGTCCCAGAGCAGTCCCACAGCAGTCCCAGAGCGGTCCCAAAGCAGTCCCGGGGACTGCTTTCTGGGACTGCTTGGGTGTCAGGTTGGGTCTGGTCGGTACAGTAATTTTAGAATACAAAGGAATTGTGAATTTGCTTTTAAAATGTTTTATTTAAAATAATGATGTTTTTTCCTTTATGTTTCATTGATATATCTTCTAAAAATAAACCTTCATGAAACTAGCAAAATACATTGAAACTATAATATTTACATCCACTGAATATTTTCTCCTTTATTTCTGAAGGAAACCCATTGCGTTAATCACTGCATGAACTACATTAGGCATGTTGCCTGTACAGATTTCTTGATCAGTAGCTGTTCCGTCAGTGAAACGTAGAAAGACGTTCGCATCATTAATACAATAATTTAACTTTTTAATCCTTCTTTAAATGATTATTTAAACAGATATAAATATAAACAATAAAATGTCTTTCTTTGTTTGTTATTACTGGAATTAACGGTCGCAGCTATTGCAGAAAAAAATTACATAACCCGCTAACGCGAATAATGTATTTTTCTGCAAGAGCTGCTTCCGTTAATTCCAGCAATAACAAACAAAGAAAGCATTTTATTGTTTAAGAAAACTGCACTGAATCCAAATTACTAGGGGTATCTATCAACCATAATTTAATTCTATAATTGATAACATTCTCAAAATTACATATTATACATGTAATAAGAAAAGTAAATATATATGTATGGGAGGGTGTTTCGATTCAGCTATCATGTATTTATAAAACGTTATTGGACAATGGTTTTAGGACAGGATATTAGAGTGGTAACATAATAAGGATGTAACCGTACTCCTACATGTAACCTACCCGGAATATAGCAGTTAGGGTCTGTATTTCCGTTCAGACAGTGACAAATATACTTCCCGAACTGATCCTCGCATGTCCCACCATTAAGACAAGGCTCACCTAGGCAATCGTTTATGTCTACAAGAAAATTAACATTAATTAATGAAACATTAACGTCCTGTGTAACATGTTCATACTTTGCCTTATTATTTAAACATAATTTTATAAGATTCATTCTTTAAAGATTGAATTATATAGATCATCATAAAACCACCTTTCAGCTAATAGAAAGAAATGTTATAAAGTGGAAAAGGTTACACACCTTCTCCACAAGTTTCGTTTGACAATTCGTTCGTTAACAAAGGCAACAAATCAAACGTTGTCAGATACGTGTAGTCGTTGTGCGTGGCAACAGATCTCAGAACGATTGAATTTATTCCAGTTCCTACCCCGACACAAAATATCGTGACCCCCATGGCTTTAAGTTTGTCGGGCTGGTTGGAAATGGAGCTTTGTCCATCGGTGATCAGAACAGCAATTTTTGCCGAATCATTTCTTGCTCCTCTGGCGGGACTAAAGGAGTACAGCCGGGCATAATCAAGGGCACGTCCTATGCTTGTTCCCCCACTATTAAATGGAATGGAAGATATTGCAGATTGAATATCAGCTACTGTGTGATATCTGTTGAGTGGAAATATCTCTCTAGAAGAGGACGCAAAATTGACTACGCTGAATTGATTGGCGTTACTTCCAACTTTGAAGTGACCGACGACGGAACTGACAAATGACTTGATCCTTTCGAAGTTCAGAGATCCAATACTGCCGGACTCGTCTAGTAGAAAAACAATGTCTCCTTTCGACACACACTCCCCTTATTTAAAAAAAATCAAAAGGGAATTAATATTTGTATCATACACATGTATATGCCCTACACAACAAACGGGCATTTCAATTGAAAGTTTAATAAAATGGTTGTTCATTTGCATCTCATCAAATCCATTTAAGCAATTTATTACATTTGGACATGCATTGTAACATACAACTGATTGACACGCCTTGGCGGATTGTTTAGGTCAATTATGACCACTGCTTTTATCTTAAATCTTATAAAATATTTTGTTATAAATCAGAGAAATCTTTCGAAAGAAAAATCCCTCATTACATTCTTAATCTTCCAGGATTATTATTCTAATTAATCAGAAGACATTTTACAAAGGCTTCCAATTCAAAAAACATATTAGAGCAAAAATCAGTGAAAAGCCGATGGGGGCTTGAATAAACGGTCAAAGCACTTTGCGTCTGTATCCTATTGTAGCTTAAAAGTTTATGCTTCTTTAAATGACAATTTAGCTAGTATCTTATCATTTATGAAAAATTGTAATAAGTAAAGCATATAGAAATTACTAAAATTCCCTTTAAAGAAAAATTTAAAAAGATGATTGATATTCAAATAAAATTTTCATCATATATTTGAATTGTAATATTACACAATATTGCAAATAAGCAAACACTGTCAATAGAACTCAATCTATTAAAAATATTTTTTTTTACTTAAGTCTATTATCAGTTTATGGTCTAGGGGCCTGGTAATCAATATCTGTTTAACCTGATTTTAGTATGGCAAGCCGTTTTGCTATTTATTTGGAAAATAAAATTTATCTTAAAATTACTGAAATATCTCTCATTTTAGAGAGATATTTCTTAAAAATAGAGATATCTCCAAACTTCAAGAGATTTTCCTCATTTTTAAGAGATATCTCAATGAGAAAGAGATATCTTTTAAACTTAGAGAGAGATATCTCTTATACTCAGAGAGATACATGTATCTCTTTTCATAAGAAAGATATCTCTTTTACTTGAACAGATATCGCTTTCTCCTTTAACGGTAGCGGTGAAAAGAGATATCTCTGAACGTTAAAAAGATATCTCTTCTCCTAGAGAGACATCTCTTGTACTTTGGAGATATTTTTCCAAGTTAAAGAAATACCTGGTATCTCTTAAAGTAAAAGATATATCTCTCTAAGTTTGTCTTAATAGATATCTCTCAAAGTGAATGAGATATCTTTCAAAAACTTTTAACATTTTTAACCATTAAAATTTCAAAACATCCAGTGTACATTTATAATCGTCAGTGATGGTGAAAGAATATCTCCACCAGCATAACGATTATCGGGCAGTATGCTGAGAACTTCGTAAAAGTATGTGCTTGTGTTTCTTCTTTCCCATGTCACGTTAGTGATAGGCGAGAAAGATGTTAGGTTTGTTTCAAGAGTGAGGTTTTCACCGGAGTAAACACTATAACTAGATTTTAGTAAAATGGATGGCGGACCTGAAAAAAAATTCATTTTTTTTAAATCTAAATTTTTTTTAATCATTATACATCACTTTTTCTACACAACACTGTACTTTAAGACTTTTAAAAAAATTGTTTAATTTTTATTTGGTTTAGAATTAACTGTTTTGTTTTCTCTTATATACGAGTACATGTGTGTATATGTATATGTACGAACTCATTCAAAAGAGAAGCTTAGCTTTTTTTTGAAAATTAAGATTTAGAGATTAACAGCAAAATAGTTTTTTTTAAATGTTAATTTAAAAAAACTTACGTAACAAGACATCAATGTAAACTGATCTCGATGTTGTGCCATCATCGTTTGTAGCTTTAACACGGTAATAAGTCTCATCATTTACAGTAATATCTGTTATAGTTAACGATGGAGAATTAATATCGCCACCGGAAAATCGATTATCGGATGATATATCGATGATTTCGTACATATATGTACTGATGTTCCTTCTCTCCCAGGTGACATCTGTGACGTTTAAGGTGGATGTGATACTTGTCTGCAGTGTGACGTTTGTTCCCGTGTAAACATAATACCGCCAGGAAAGTGATATGGATGGTCGGTCTAGGAAAAAGCACATATACATTAACTAGAAGATTTAAAAATAAACAACACAATGTACATATACATGCATTATAGCTGAGTTTGACTTTCATATTTTGTTTCTTTGATGATATAATTGAGTTTAAAATAAATTCACAAATCAGCATGAGGTCGTATTAACATAGTATAAAATAATATAACTTATCCAAATATATTAAATGGATAAATGTAATATAAAAAACAATATAATGATAATTGTAAACACATATAAATACATCGGAAACTCCTTGAAGAAACTTTAAGTAGTTGGAGGACTTACATCGTTTAACGGATATTCTGAACTGGCTGCTGTATCTATCTCCATCCATGTTTGAAACCTTACATCGATAATACGTGTAATCGTCCTCTAACGATATATCAGTAACAATTAGTGATGGTGAATCCATGTCCCTCCCGTATATCGTTCATCGTTCACTACATCGATTGTTTCAAAAGTGGATACTGATGAATTTCTTTTCTCCCAAACTACTGAAGTGACATTTAGAACCGATGTGTAACTGAGTGAAAAAGTTATGTTTGCCCCTCTTTCGACGTAGAAATACGTTGTCCCCGTTGATATTGATGGAAGCCCTAGAACAATGTTTAAAGATGTATACTAATAATTTGTTGAGAAAAAATGGAAGACATGTACAATTATGAATGCAGTGTCATAACTTTTGATTTTTTTTTCTGCTTTTATAATGACAAATACAGCATTTCAAAATTTAAAATTCTGTTTTTGTAGAACAATTGACGTTACAACAAAACAAGTAGATTCAACTATATCGGGATAACTAGAAAACATTCCCAGAAGTAAAGTCTACAATGATATTCTAGAAATGTTTAAAAACGTACAAAAAAGGTTTTTAAAACATGATAAGAGCAGATATACGACTAACAACCTTTGGCAAAAAAATCCTAATTAGAATTTTAGTGTTAAAAAATTTCTAAAAAGATTAAAAGGCGTTTATGAAATATAAATACGGACTGGAATAATGGCAAGTTTATCACTTACTCGGAGTGACTGATAAATAGAAGTTTGAGCTATATCTAACTCCGTCGCTGTTTTCTACCGCACACCTATAATATCCCTTGTCTGAAACTAATACATTATTGATGACAAAATCAGGTGATCCGATTTCGCCACCTTCAATTCTTTCGTCATCGGTCGTATTTAGGGTATAGTAATTGTACGGGTAGGAGGAATTTCGTTTTTCCCATTTAATTGATAATAAAGTGGTCAAGGATGTAATGTTGACTTCAAATGTGACATTTCCACCAGAATACATGTAGAAATTCCTTGTTCCAGTGGTAACTGACGGTAGACCTGAAAAAAATTTAAAATTATGAACATTTTTCAGATCACACTCAAATAAGATTCATCCGAAGGTTCTATTTGAATCTGAATCAAATAACCCGGTTCAGAGAGAGAGAGAGAGAGAGAGAGAGAGAAGTTATGCTTCTTGTACATTCATAATTTTATCCAAATGAAAAAAAAATTACGGAGAAGGAATAAAAAGAATAAGAATGGACTGTAAACCTACGGAGATTAATATGTAAATAAAACGTGCTGCTCCTTGTTCCATCTACATTTGTTGCGTTGAACCTAAAATATCCAGCATCTATCCCACGGACACTGTTTATCGTCAGCGAGGGGGCATTCATCGTTCCGCCAGAAAATCTGCTGTCTGTTACATCAATCAAGGTATATGTGTATGGGTAGGAGGCGCTGCGTTTCTCCCAACTGACCGAAACCATGGGTAACTCGGACGTGACGTTAACCTCAAATGTGAGATTAGTTTCCGAATAGACGTAGTAAAAGTGTGTCTGCTGCGTTGTTACAATAGGTAAACCTTTAAAAATATTGATATGAAAATATTCAAATAATTTCAAGAATTTCAAAGAAATAATAGAAAATCTGACTTTACAATCATTACTTACGGACAATAACATTTAAGTAAATGCTCGAACTTATAGTTGTGCCTTTAGCGTTGGACACATTTAGACGGTAATATCCTTTATCCTCCATGCTGACGTTACGAATGACGAGAGACGGAGAATCTAGTGTTCCGCCGTCGTATTTGGCATTAAATGTCGTATTCATGTCATTAAAGTAGGAGTAGGAATAAGAACTTCTCTGCCACGACAAACTTAAAAGATCTGGGTTGGCATAAACAGATACGGAAAGTATGACGTCTGCACTTTTGTTGACGGTGTAGCTGGTAGAATTCAGAACAATGTAACGCCCTGAAAGCAAAACAAAATATGTTAAAATTCTAATTGACGTCATTTAATATTAGAAACACTCTCTTGCTATCTATCATAATTCATTTTGTGAATTTGTTTGATGAAACAAAAATAATGGAACATCGTTTGAACATTTGTTCTAAATACGTATTAAATTAAATGCAGGTGTTGTCTGAAATGAACGTGAAGAGTAAAAGAAATCAAAAATCCCCCTTTTTCAATTTAAAAATTTTTGGAAAGCTCTTGAATTTTTTGGATAAGCATTTACAATTTACAAAAAATTACTTATTTCATCTTTAAGAAAGAATTTAGATTGAAATTAATTGGAACTTTATATATTTTATTGTGTTTCGAATCTACCATAAGAAATAAGTGAGTAGGGAAAATCATCACTTACACATCTATGGTAAAGAGAATCAATCATATGAGAGAGAGAGAGAGAGAAAGAGAGAGAGAGAGTATCTTCTAGCACTTACAATTACGTATTTTGACATTGACTGGTCTACTGTAACCAACACCGTTAGTACTGTTTGCATAACATCTGTAGTTACCGATGTCTGATGAGCTAAACTTGTAAATTCTCAAAGATGGGTAATATATAGAGGAACCATAATATTTAGAGGAGGACACATCTATTTCTGTTTCATTTTTCTGGCCCTTAAGTTGAAAGGTCCAGAAAACTCTACTGACACTGGAGCCAAATACTCTACAAAGGATTGTGACAGTGTACCTGAAGCCAGTAGTGATGTTTGATCCCCTAGAACTGCTGGAACATCTTCAAATAAAAATGACATAGCGGGAATCAATCCAATTCAGCCAACATTGTGTTTTTCTAATTGCTAAAAACTTAAAAATATATAATCATCAAGTGGAAAATTTGTACTAAAGCTGCTCAACCAGAAAATTTGCAATTTAAGAAAACTCATGTTATACTACATTTCAAAGTATTGCGTAAAATATTTCAAGAAATTTAGGAAGGAAAAAATATTATTCTAAGCGTACCTCTAAGTAAGTACACGGCTATGTCAGAGCTATTTCTGGTTCCATACTGGTTATACACGGAACAATGGTAGTAACCCTGGTCTTCTTCCTGGAAATTCGTTATGTTGAGGTTTGGAGAAAGAGTTGTTCCGCCGGAATATTTACCATTAGACATCGGATTGATTGGTGCATCGTCTTTGTACCAATCAACCTCAACAACGGGAGGGTAACTGGAGGAAAATTTGCAAGACAGGGACACGCTATCGCTAGCGTTGACAGCGTATTTTGTTCTTTGCAGGTAAATCACAGGGAAACCTAAGATAAATTCATTACCTTGAAACTAAATTTGTTAAATGAGACAATGAACATTGTTTACTTTCAAAATGACAAATGTATGTATCTCGCTGTAAATCTTTGAAACATACCTCGCTTTAAATCTAGAAAGATCATTTTTGCACTTTGGCCTATGCCTGCTGAGTTTTGAGCCAAACATCTATAGTTTCCTATATCTTCAACTTGAACGTTTTTAACGGTAAGAGACGGTGTCCCTACAGTGCTGCCGCTATATTTAGTGGTATTGCCAGTGTTGATAGTGGTTGTGATGCCTTTTTTCTGATAGTGCCATGTAACAGAAGATATATTTGTCGTGCTTGTGACGTAACAATGTAGTATGGCAGATGATCCAATATATACTACTAGACTGGATCCTATTGTTACATTTGGTAAACCTATTTAAATAAAGATGTGCGTAAATCTGTATATTGAAAAAGAAATTAATTATCATATACATGTGTTTTTCCTCCTTGCGAAACTCAAAGCAAATCTAATATTAACGCAATGAATAAAATGTCAGTTCTCTTATGGTGAGCAAATATACAAAAAAAATGTTCTTATGCGACATAGACAAATCTAAAATATAACAGAATCAGCAAAACCTGTAAGTTTTAGAGGACCTCCATCATAAGTGTACAAAGGAATTTGTGAATTTGCTTTTAAAAGGTTTTATGTAATATAGTAGTGTTGTTTTCTTTCACGTTTCATTGATTTGTCTTCTAAAAATAAATATTCATGAGACTAGAAAAATACATTGAAACAAGAATTTTTAAAATGATTCAGAATTTTAGAATGTTAAAATAATAGTTTCTGATTTGCTTTATTCAAATTTGATATTTTTAGTTCAACATTCTAATTTATCAACTTTTTAAACAAGTTTAAAATTTCAATTCTAAAGATTTTTTACTTACATATGAGTATTCAAAATTCAGATTTCCAAAAACGATTTTATTTGTATTTTAAACTCTTGAGTTTTTAATCTACCATTTGTTCATAAAGTTTACGCTTAACATTCTAAAGTTTTGTAACATTTTTCGTCTTTTGATTATAATTATTTGAAATTTACTTCAAACTTCTATACCAAATCATTTTAGGAAATTTGAAACTTGATTATTTTTGATAAAAATCTAAAAAGTTAACATTTCAAAACTTGTTTAGACATTTGAAAATTTATTTTTTTTAACTGAAAATTTTCAATATTCCAAATCAGTTTGAGTTTTTGAAATTTAGAAATTTGAACCAATAAATTAACATTCTAAAACTCTAAATCATTTTAGAAATTTGAATTGTTAAGTGTTACACGGACCCTTAATACTGTAATTGATAATAATCTCAAAATTACTTATTATACATGTGACTACATAAGAAAAGTAAATATATGCTTTTTGATTCAGCTATCTTGTATAAAACTTTATGGGTTTTAGAACAAGGTATTTGAAAGTGGTAGCATTATCAGGTTAAAACCAACTTACCTGGAACATAGCAGTTAGGGTCTGTATTTCCGTTCAGACAGTGACAAATATATTTTCCGAACTGATCCTCGCATGTCCCACCATTACATGTAAGACAAGGTTCACCTAGGCAATCGTTTATGTCTACAAGAAAATTGGCATAAATGAAGGACATTTACGTCCTGTGTAACATGTTCATATTTTGCATGAGATTCATTTTCTAAAGATTGAATTACACAAGTCTTCATAAAACCACCTTTCAGCTAAGCAAAAATGTTACAAAGAAGTGGAAATGTTACACACCTTCTCCACAGGTTTCGTTGGACAATTCGTTCGTCAACAAAGGCAACAAATCAAACATTGTCAGATACGTGTAGTCGTTGTGTGTGGCAACAGATCTCAGAACAATTGAATTTATACCAGTTCCTACCCCGACACAAAATATCGTGACCCCCATGGCTTTAAGTTTGTCGGGCTGGTTGGAAACGGAGCTTTTTCCATCGGTGATTAGAACAGCAACTTTTGCTGAATCGTTTCTTGCTCCTCTGGCGGAACTAAAGGAATACATCCGGGCATAATCAAGGGCACTTCCTATGCTTGTTCCCCCACTTTTGAATGGAATGGAAGATATTGCGGATTGAATATCAGCTACTGTGTGATATCTGTTGAGTGGAAATATCTCTCTAGAAGAGGACGCAAAATTGACAACGCTGAATTGATTGGCGTTACTTCCAACTTTGAAATGACCGACGACGGAGCTGACAAATGACTTGATCCTTTCGTCTAGTAGAAAAACAATGTCTCCTTTCGACACACACTTCCCTTATTTAAAAATTGAAAACGGGAATTAATTTGTGTGCAATATATACGCTACATGACAAACGGGCATTTTAATTGATAGTTTAATAAAATGGTTGTTCAACTGCATCTCATCAAATCTTATAAACTTATAAATTATCTTCAGTCTGGAACTGTAAATTATTGATGTTTTAGCTTTTCATAGAAACATTTACGTAGTCTTTGTCAACTTGTTTTTTATATTTCTATGAATAGTTTTTAAAAAGGGGCAAGCTACTGAAAGTTACACGAACCATGGATATCTTAGGTATCTTACTATCGTGTATAAACATTGTCGATACAATAGCCTTGTCAGCCATGCAATATATTATTAAGTCAAATACTCATCGCCATTTTAATACTTGAGGAATGAATTTAATAGCGACCTATCTTATACGGTATAAACTGTGTTGGGGCAGTTTACCTTTCGCGGTTTATAAAAAAAGTGTCAACTATTCTAACCCAGTTTATACCGTATAAAATGGGTAGCTTATACAGCGTTTCAACCAGAATTAAATTATTTATTTTTATA